TAGAGTTTAGTAATAAGGCCTTTGTCTGATGTGTCATTGCTAAAGATGTTTTCCCAGTCCGTGGACTCTCTTATTACTCTCTTGGTGAATTCTTTCTATGTACACAGGTGTTTTATCTTCAGTATATCCCATTTGTCAATTTATGCCTCCTCTGTATTTGTGTCCTTTCCTATTTCTGATAGCCTATGTATTCCCTGTGCCAAAATTCTCAATTTGGTCCCAATTCTCAAGGCTAATGATTTTGAACAAGTTTTCTTGTGCTTAGTTGACATCCATATATTTTCTTTGGTGAATTATGTATTAAAATCTTATGCCTATTTATAAGTGTTTAATTATTATGTAATTTTGATAGTTCTTTATCTATTCTGGATGCCACCCTTTGGGAGGGACAAGGTTTACAAATTATTTATTTTATTCTGTGGCTTGTCTTTTAACAATGTTAAAAATGGTTTTCGAAGAACAAACATCTAAATTTTGATGATACTTAATCCATCCTTTTTTTTCATTTTATGAATTTGATTTTGGACAGTACTTAAGAAGTCTTTGTCAAACCCAAGTTTTCTTTCTCTACAGAGCTGAAGCACGAGATCTACGTGTGGCGTCTGACTGCACAGCGCATCAGTCCAGCCAGTCGAGAGGAGACGATGGTTCGCCACTTGCTCTTGGGCAAGGTGAAAGAACTGGAGCAGCTACTGGCCTGGAGGTTGCACACCTTCCAAATGTGGGTTCCTATGATGTATATAGTTGTAGCCCTAGTCTATATAGATCAGTGAATAAGTTTAAGACACCAGCCACTTTCCTCAGACATTGAAAGCACATGATTTTACTAATACTCACACTAGCTCTGTGTGGTGAACACTGGTATTATAGCTAACGTGAAATGGAGAAAACAGAGGTTCAATGAAATTAAGCACCTTGCCCATTTTTCCAGCCAGGAGAGAGAAATGCAGGAGGCAAATACATACTCTCACCTACTCCACAATTCCAGCTTAACACAGAACTGTTGTATAATAAGAATTTTTAAGAACCATGCAACACACTAATCTAATAGACTAGTGTCGCAGCAACTTATTTTCAAGTCTTCAAGCTGGTGCAATGGTTAAGCATTCAGCTACTAACCAATAGGTCAGCAGTTTGAATCTCTAGGGACTCCATAGGAAAAAAATTACTACAGGTTAGGAAACCGTCTGTGTCAGTTCTACTCTGTCTTATAGGATTGCTGAGTCAGAATAGACACACACAGCTTATTAGGCGTATATAACCCATTGCCATTGATCCAATTCTGACTCTTTTTTTAAATCATTTTATTAGGGGTTCATACAACTCTTATCATAATCCATACACACATCAATTGTGTAA